CCCAACATTCTGGGATGCTGGGATTCTGTGATGGCAAAACGCGCAGTGCATATGCGAGTGGAGGGAGACTGTTGCGTGACATTAAGGAAATTGCTTATAGCAGAAGCAATATGTATTTGAGATCTTACAGACTGTCTGTGTGTCCTCCCTAAAACTGCACAGTCAAATGCTGATAGCTGATCTCTCTAGCATCAGTCCAGGCAAATTTGGATGGTAATTCTCTGTACAACACAGCTGAGCACAACGAGCTCTGACAACTCTTGCTGTCGACAGCCAAGTGAAAAATCATGCAGCTTTTTTGTCAGAAGGCTTGCTTGCTGGGGAAACAACTTTTGAAAACACGGTTTTTGTGTCAGCTGAAATTCCTTTTTTTAATGAGGAACTGAAATTTCTCAGGAATTAAAGACTTTCTTTGTAATAAAAATAATTTTTTTCAGCAGCCTCTGACCACCGAGCATTGAAATATTAAGCAGCTTGAAAGTGGGGAATACTGTCTATTTTTGGAGGGTTTTGCTTTCCCCCCTCTTTGCTCCTAGTCAAGTTCACATGGTGGGTGAGGCTCTTATCAGCCATCTCTGTACTTGCTTAATCCCCAGGAAATTTCTGTTACAGCCCAAGAGCCTCTTTTATCTGTTTAACCTTCAGCTACCCCTTGCCTGGAGGCATTTGCCTGATGCAAACGTTATTTTATCCGGCCTGTTCTCTGATTTTATCCAGCCTGATTTAGAGATTTCTAAACATTTACCAAAGCTGGTGGGGGCAGGGGGAAACCTGGATGTAGAACTGCTTTAGAAACACCATGACATTCGAGGGAAATGAAAGCTGCAGCAGTTAACAAGGTATCTCCTGTAGATATCCATAGCATCAGGAGTGCTGTTGGAGTTGAACGTGGTTATCTAGCAGAAAAGCTCAGGTGTTTCAGGTAAGGAAAAATGCATGGGAAACATTAAAGCAGCCTTTGTCAGCATCTTCTGACCTGAGGTGCTTCTACTGTCTTCTCTCTTGATTGTAGCAAAACTCGGACTGCTTGGTGCTCTGCGTTGAATATAGGAGCTGTGAACACTGGTGGCTGCTAAAATACTGAGCAGTGAAAACCAAGTGGTGTTTAGGAAAAAAAATACATTACTAAGCGCATACATAACCCTAGCAGTAAAAGTTTATGGTGAACTTAAGGCATGTGTTTGACATATAAGCTTGGCATGGGCTGGTGCTGGTCCAAGGCTGTTGGTCCATTTGGGTGTTTTTTTCCCTGGTAAGGTATGGCAAAATCTCTACGATGTTCCAGGCAGTTTCACTTTGTCAGGGTGAGGGTTATGGAGCATGGCCCAGGCTGCCCAGAGAGGTTGTGGAGTCTCCTTGTGTGGAGACACCCAAAGCCCTGGCCGTGTTCCTGTGTGACTGCTCTGGTGATCCTGCTGTGGCAGGGGTTGCACTGGGGGAGCTTTCCAGGTCCCTTCCAACTCCCGACATTCTGGGATGCTGTGATCGTGAGATTTCCCCTTGCTGGGTGTGGGACTCACAGTCCTCCCCCTGCCCGAGTGTGGGGAAGGGCTCAGGTGTAACCCAGCCGTCTCCAGGCTGGCAGGGAGGTTGCACACATCAGCTTCTTCTCCCAGAATCACTGTGTGCAGTGAACATTCTTTGCCAAAATCCCACATGTGCTGATTAAAGGAGAGTATATTTTCTGGTTTGGTCATTTCTGGGAGCTTTTTAAGACTAAGTACAACCAAGTGTACCAAGAAAGAAACATGCTCTTTGAGCCCTAGGGACCAATTAGCAGCAAGAGAAGGAAAGAAAAACAAATACAAACAGTACTATAAGAGGCAAGAAGGATTCTTAGGGCCTATTTTACTGGGTCAGGAAAAAGGAGAGGAGGACTTGAAGCGAGCTGTGCTGTTCCCTGCTCCAGGGTCAGCTCCTCCAGCAGAGTTTTTAGGCAGATCCTTGCTGGGCATAGGAGGGGCATGGTAGGACAGAGGAGTGACAGACCAATTTGAGAGGGGGATTAAAAGAGTAAAATGGGGAAGAGAAAATTGTTGTTGCAAAGAAGAGGAGCTGCTGTGGGCAATGTGCTGGGGCATGGCGTAGGGTAGCAAAGGCTCATGTCCTCACAAGACTTCGAGTGTCCGAATCAACTACAAACAGTATCTAGTGTCTTCACGCTTGCCAGAACATCAGTTTCTTCTCCTCCATGTTGAACTTGCTGTAACGGCAAGGAAGGGCCCATCAGCTGCTATTTGAACACACTGGAAGTTGGTTATCCAACTTCCAAAGGTCCAGGCTTGTCCATTAAATTTGCTCTTCGTAGCCCATTTTCTGTGCTTCCCTCTCATACCTTTTTTCAGCAATGTCACCGCTACACTCTTTATTCCCCCTCGTTATTCCTTTACTTCTTGCACACATGGAATCTGAGTATTCATAAGGGTAACGCGTTACTTACCTGTTTGTTCAGAAAAATGTAGATGATGGGGTTGTAGACTGTGCTGCTTTTGGCAAGGATGGATGGGATGATGCTGGCTGCAGGGGTGATCAGACCCGGTTTCCCAAACGTAGCTATAAGTGCCACAGCCGCGTACGGCAGCCAGCAAAGCAGAAAGCAAATCACCATCACCACCACCAGAATCAGGACGCGCTGCTCCCGGGCCCGGCCCATCCTGTTATTGATGCTGCCCACCTGGGTGAGAGAGGGGCACAAATTAGCACTGCTCATACTGAGAGCAGATGGGCACGCATGGGAGCTCCTGGAGTGGCTGCATGAGGGGCAGGGTTGGCAGTGTCACCTGTAATGTTGTTGGCTGGAGAAAAGCTGGTCAATGTGGGCAGGGTTTGTGTGTTCTGTACCCAAAATGTGTGTGTTAATAGTTGGAATAGGAGTAGCAATAGTGCTGTTGATCTAGAATAGCCTTCTCCATGCAAGAGTATGAGAGACCTTTCTCTCTGGCATTCATTGGGAAAGTCAGCAGTTGAATTAAACTGATTTACAACGGGCGCCTTCTCCGGACTTCGGGCACACGTGGACTCGTAAGTAAATCACAGGGCAAGTAATACTGCTGCCATGTGCATCACCCTTGTTTGCTAGTTTTCAGTATGTTTTGAAAATTGAACCTTTTACTGATCATTGTGTGATGCCTGCACTGCGAAGTGCTGCAGTGAGCATGGGAAACTATTACAAGTAATTTCATGGGGAATCCAAAGGGAGGTATTTGCATGTGGGAAGTCACTGTGAGACCGACTATGAAACCAAACCAAAGCTGTTCAACAAGTAGAAGATACCTGTAATTGCCTGCTGAGGCAATTCGAACGCCAAGTACTTTATAAATACCCTGTTAATGTGCAAATGAAATCTTTTATGACACTTGTCTATGATTTAAAAGAAAAAAAAGTGGTATTTGCCACTAGGCAAATAAAGCTGCTAATCAAAATATTTCCATTAGCGACAAGTGAATATTTCACTTAGGGACACCCACAGGCATCAGCAGCTCAGATTTATTCACAGGCATCTCAGACAGAAAGCTCACATTTATCTTCTTATATTGTATTGCATGGAGTTGATATGAATCCTGTATGACATCTTCCCTGCGCTTGGATTTTTGGAAAGTCTGCCACAAGTTGATATAAAACTTCACAAGATGCTCAGGCTGTGTGACGAAGGAGCAACAGCTGGATTGGGCACAACTGCAGGGATGAAGATGAAAGAGGAGTTGCATTTTGTGTTATGTGTGACTGGTTTTTAGGCTCCTGAGAAGAGGCACTGCAAGGTGGGGGTAGCTGGATGCCAAGGTCCTTCATCCCAGTTTCTTTCTGCCGTCCTAAGACTCTCGTGTTCACCCTCCCATCCTAGGAGGTACTCAGGGTGGGTGCTGGGTGATGGCTTGTGAGTGCTGCACCTTGAGGAAAACCAAAGCCCCTCTATTTCTATTGATTTTAGAAAAGGCAACCCAACAACCCTCTCCTCTTCCTTCAAGTCAGAGAAGACAAATGTTTTCTGCCTGTTTCCCAGATTAAAATCAGCCTGGAGCAGGGCTGGGAGTGAGAGGAGGACCCCGGAGGTATTTCCCATTTAATAGCCTTTGGCAGAGTTCAGGTCACGGGGCAGCTGGTGTCACGCTGGGTCTCCACCTCTCTTTCTGAATATGCTGATGCAGTTTGACACATGGCAAAATGGGGAGAAACAGCTGTTTTTTGTCCCTGCGTTGAACACTGACATGAAGTGAGTGGGGTACTTCTGATGGGGCATTTCTACCAGCACAACGCACTCTTCTCAGGCAAACTTACGTATTACTCTTTACTTTTTAATATTTTATCCTTTCCTATTAAAACCAAAACCAAACCCTAAAAAACTGAAGAGCTTGCAGTTTTCAGACTGATCTGCCAGGGAATGGCTGCACAGTTAAGCAAGGAAATATTGTAATTTCCTCGCCAGCGGTAGGAAATTACTCTTTTCATCCTACGAGGCCAGAATGGTTGAATATCCTTCCACTTCTGTAATTCTCCTTGAAGCATTTTTGCTTTCACTTATGAGGCTCCCCATGTCAGTCGAGGAAACCTGAGACCTTGATAGCAATACTCAAGGCACAGGCAGTAAAATTTTGCAGAACTAAACAAACTCAGCAACCTTGAAGTGTTGCTGGCTCCTCGTCAGCAGATGGTGACTTGGATCCACCGCACAGCGCCAGGGCTGTGCCCAGATGTGCCATCGGGTACCTGTATCCGGACAAAAGCAATGAGCTGTGCGATGCTGAGGAGTAGTGCTGTGGGCTTTCAGTTTAATTTTGTCTTGGTAACTTCCAAGGAAAGTAAGAGCACGAGTCTGACCCTGGTAGCTTGTCCATAGAGGGTGGAAAGTCAGCCCAGGCTGGTTCTGGCTTAGGGCTAACAGCAGCGATGCTGCTGCAGGACTTGAGCACAGGGTTAGCCTGAGCTGCTGTAAAATGTCCTTCACTTCTGGTTTGGTCAAAAATCTAAACCTCAATCTGCTGTGTGCCAAAAGGAAAAAAAATTCCCTCGCTATTTCTGTAGGTTTTGTTCTAGAAAACAGCCACAGAAAATGTCCTTTTTTAGCTTGATGTATTCTTTGCTGGAAATCGAGTCTCTGTTTCTCCTAAAAATGATCTTTTCAGTTTGCTAAAATTTATGATGCCTCTATATCGCTCATTCCATATGTTGCACATATGGTCCAGTGTACTGAGTTAGCAGGAGTGGGGCATTCATCTCAGTAGAGCTGGAGGCCCTGGTCACATCTTGCTCTTACAGTGATGTTTTCACTTTGGTTTCCCATTGGTGTTAATTTTTACATGGAAAACTAACAGAGAGGTCAGAATTAGCTGGGAATCTCTGCAGACATCAGCCATACCCAGTTAAGATCCTGACTGTGCTTCTCCTGGGCTCTGTGTAGCATTTGGCCCCTGCCACGGGCAGGCAGCAAAGGCTGAAGCTTGATCACAGAGATGCCAAACAGTGGGGCCAATGAAGTGTTTAATCCCATATATTACACAGGCATTGCTGTATGAGCGGATAGACTATGCACCCTCTTAATGCAACCCGTGACTTCAGGGGTTTGCTGGGTGCAGTAGGAATTTGTTGCACTGCCTGGGACGTTATAGCCCATGACGTGTCTGTGCTATGTATTAACTTCTGCTTTTAGACAGGATCCGTGGTGGAGGTGCCCATGAACACAGAAGTAGGACAGTCCCTCTGCTGAGATCTATAATTTAATAGTTACTTTATGCTTTCTACAACAGACCCACTTCTAGATGGTAATTCAGCCTGCGGAAGTGATTAATTTTAATTTTTTTTCCATTGACCGTAATTGGGAACTTACACATCCATCCTCCTGGTGTAGGAGCAGAAATGCTCGCAAATGCAGTGTGTATGTGGTGTGCACTGGATGTCACGGACAGGAGAAGGACGTGGAGGAGTGTAATGTAGCAAACGGTCAGAACACGTTTAAATAGAGGTCACTGTGGACACAGCAAATTCCTGGTTGATACTGCTGACACACACTGTGCAGAAATAACAGAGTCATCACATTGCTAGGAAAGTAAACTATGTCTTTTCAGCAGTGGATATGGAAATTGCTCAGAAACATTCGGGATTGGAGAGCACAGCTGAGCACACACGAGGCTGCCTGGGAGGTTGAGCCACGAAGCTCCCACTGGGATAAATTCCTGCATCCCCAGGTTGGTCTGAGAATCTCAGCTGAGCGACTAATTCTTGTGTTTTGTGAAACCGCTATCGTGTTTAGAGCCTGGAGGGTTGACAAGGACACTCACAGGACTTGGAGGATGATCCTTGAGAAAAGTTGGAATAAAGGGAGGTAAAGGGGGGGGAAAAACCCAACCAAACTGGGTACGCAGTGGCCTGAGCACACCAGCTGAGGCCCCTGGCTTATGTGAGCAAAGCTGCTGTATTTCTTTCAAATGGGCATCACAGCCACCCCTGGGCTGTGGCAACAGTTAAAACCACCTCCAGACACCACTGCCTGTTCATCAAGAAATAGCACCTGAGAGCTACAAAATCAGATATACCCGTTTGTGCTCTGCCCTGCTGAGTTAACAGCTGCAGTTACTGGAGTACACGCTAGAGAACCAGACAATAACCCAATAAAGTTGCAATTAAATTGCATTGCATGTACATTAAAGGTCAATCCAATTTCTCCTGAAGTGGATGTGAGCCTTCCTGATGGTCCCTGCAGCTTGTGCCCTACTTCTAAGAACTAATAAATGTAGGGTAGGTAGTGGGTTTGCAGTAGATATGTTGGATGCTTCGGGGAAGACTCTCAACCCTTTGAAGTGTTACTGTGCTGTCTGCTCTTGGTCGATGCTTGTAACTTGGGTCAGATCTGTGGGCACGCACAGCAATACGTCTGAGTGATGAGGTGCTTAAAATGACATCAGGACTGCCAAGGGAGCCCCCTCTGCTCTGCCCTGCTCACACCACATCTGCAATCTTGTGTCCAGTGCTGGGCCCTCAGGTCAAGAAGGACAGGAACTGCTTGAAAGAGTCCAGCAGGGCCACAGAGATGATGGAGGGAGTGGAGCATCTCCTGCTGAGGAGCGGCTGAGGGAGCTGGGGCTCTTGAGCTTGGAGCAGAGGAGACTGAGGGGTGCCCTCATTCCTGGGGATCCATTGGGAAAGGGCAGTGTCAGGAGGAAGGAGCCAGGCTCTGCTCTGGGATGTCCAATGCCAGGACAAGGGGCAATGGTCCCAAGCTGGAGCACAGGAGGTTCAAGCTGAAGATGAGGCCAAACTTTGTGAGGGTGAGGGTTATGGAGCATGGCCCAGGCTGCCCAGAGAGGTTGTGGAGTCTCCTTGTGTGCAGACACCCAAAGCCCTGGCCGTGTTCCTGTGTGACTGCTCTGGTGATCCTGCTGTGGCAGGGGTTGCACTGGGGGAGCTTTCCAGGTCCCTTCCTACTCCTGACATCCTGGGATTCTAGGGAGCGGGGACAGGAAGTGCAGAGTCCAGGAGCCCTCTTGGCATGGGAACGGCCTCTGCACACATGGGCTTGCTTAGCAAAGGCTGAGCAAAAAGAAATGGAAGCCCAGCAGTGAGCTTCAAACTGTAAGTCAACAGGGTGCTGATGAAAGGAAAGAAGTTAGCCCCAAAAGCTGTTGCTGGGCCTGAATGAGAATTTCCTTGCAGCTCTGAAACAGTGGGCTAGTTTAACAGTAG